TGGTATACCTAATTATAATGAATTTGGTAAATTCAGAAAATTTTTAGACTTTTGTTCAACAACTAAAGCCACAAGGAGAATGTAGACTTGTTTAGTATTTAGATTACATTAAAGATGTCTACGGATACAGACTTTTCCACAACTACAGTTTTCACAACTCCGCTTACAACAGGATTCGTGCAAAATTTTACAACAGGATTCGTGCAAAATTTTACAACAGAATTTATACATAATTCAACAGTTCGTTCAACTGATAGTCCTTTACCATTGTGGTCGGGGTTTATCGGATGTATTGTGGCATCATTGTTTTTTGGCAGCAACTTTGTACCGGTTAAACAATTTTCAGCTGGTGATGGTTTCTTTTTTCAATTCTGTTTTTGTGTTGCTACATGGGTTGTTGGTCTCATCACGGATTTGATCGTGAAGAATCAACGATTTTATCCACTTGTACTAATCGGAGGTAAGTGAGTGTGAGCGAGGATGTCTTAACTCTCAATAACCAGTATTATTAATAAAGGGGTTTTATGGACCACTGGAAATCTTGCAACGGTATTTTGTATCAAAACGTGTGGTTTGTCCGTTGGATTACTTATTTGGGGTACATCGAGTTTAATTGTTGGATGGGCAGGTGGACGATTTGGTATTCTCGGTCTTAAGGCACAAAAACCTGATCGCACTTGGAAACTGGGGCTAAATTACACCTCGGTAGTATTTGCTGCAATAAGTGGCATATTTTTTTTATTTATTAAATCAGAAAATACTCCACGCAAAGGTCAGGACTATGAAACCAAAGAACCTGTTAATGAATCAGCAGGTGAATTAGATACAGATTTCCCATTTTTGAACCGTTTAACTCCATTACAACAGAAAATTCTCGGTTATATATTAGCAACATTAGCTGGTGTTTTTTATGGTTTAATGTTTATACCGGATTCCTATATAAGAGATCATCCAGACGAGTTCCGTTATCAGAACGAAGATCCATCGTCGAATGGTTTACATTATGTCTATTCTCAATATTCTGGAATACTGTTATCTTCAACATTTTACTTCATTGTTTATGCGGCGGCAAAAGGAAACAGACCGAGCATCAATCCGAGCATTTGTTTACCAGCCATGGTATCTGGAATAATGTGGGCAATAGCCAATATCGGTTTTATTGTAGCGATATCAGCGTTGAAACAAGCGGTAGCTTATCCCATCGTTAGTGTTCTTCCAGGCATCGTTACTTCTCTTTGGTCATTGTTTTATTTCCGAGAAATACGTGAAAAGAGAAGTCTTATTTTCTTGGGTTGTGGTATGCTATTGCGTTGTTTAGCCGCAGTATTCAGTGGACTCTCTGCGTAGGTAATATTTACGCAATATCACTAGAGAATGAAAAATCCTAAAGACCCCGTCATGACAGATCAACATGAGTATTTGGATAATTATAAGTAGAACAATCACATTTACCTCCAATTTTCCGTCCATTATTTATTTAAACGGGAAAAACATATCAATACTAATGGATGCATTGCTGTAAACAAATTATTTTCTTTGCGTAAAATTATTCTAGCTTTCTTGATTGATGCAAAAAAATTCCTTTTTCGACCTACTCGTCTGTCTCAGAACGATAGTTTGTAATAAAGACAGACAAAGGTATGTCAAACATGAAATAAAACTATGCTGATAATCAAGGTAAACAATAGTTTAACCCCCCTATCACTATGCAAGGTGTTTTGTATTGAATAATTTATGTTTCATTTTTCTTATTGTTAACCACATGACTACACAAAAATAATAAAAAATAAACATAAAAAGCCTTGTTTACATGCAAAATGCTTTTATTACAAAAGAAAGAAAGATCTGTTTTGTCTGGAATAAAAAAAACAAAAAAACATATAATTAAAAGACAGGACAAGAACGAGCGACGCTAATAACAACAAAAATCTTTTGTGCACATATTGTTCTATTACTATAAAAATCTTATTTCTTAGCTTTTCTTCTCTAAATTGGTTAAGACACTTTGTTTTTTTTGAAGTGTTGGAACATCAATGGTTGGAACATCAGATGATTAAACATCATTTTGTTTTTCACTTGTTCCATTGGACGTTTTATGTTCGTTTTCAACTTCTACACTTTTATCATCATTACTCGTCTGGTTTTAAAAAAAAACAAGAAGAATTAAAAACTTTGCTATGAAAGAGCGTTTATTAAAATCTCATACCTTTTCACTTTGTTTTGGTTCTTCTTGTTCACTTTCTTTGGCTAATTTTTCAAATATTTTGGCATATAACCGTTTTTCTCTAAAAAAAAAGAAAAATAATGATCGGATGATAAACTATTTTACAAAAATTTTCGAAAAACGCATACTTTGCAGCATGTAGTTTAATTTTGTCTTTACATTTTTCTGTTTGTTGTTTAGCAGCTGAATTTGATGAATTTATGCTTAGTACTAGTTGAAAGTCTTTTAACGCAACATCAAATTCATGTAATGCTAAATATGCTGTACCACGACGAAACAAACATTTTTCATTTTCAGCTTCTAATTCTAAAATATCATATAAATAAAACAAATGGATCAGTCTTAGTTTTCGACACATCATACAACATATTGACTATCTGCGTCAGTTTTACCTAATGCTTTCTCACATGCATGAATGCATTCGATATATTGCTCTAATTTTAAATGACATAGTGCCTGTTGAAGAAAAGGGCGCAGAAGTTGAAGAAGGAAATCAAAAGAGACAAACAATATACTTACAATATTCGAATATGCTGCTAGCTTTAATTGACGACATCTTTCTTTATCGCTTTCACTTTCACAATTGGTGCTTTGTAAGTAATCAACAATAGTTGAATACTTTTTCAATGCAACACGAAAATGACCATCCTAAACATAAACATATATGTAAATATTTAAATGAATAGAGAAAAACAAAGTGATATTTAATCATCTGGTGTTCCAAGACTTCAGAAGATAACAAAATGTCTTAACCAATTTAGAGAAGAAAAGCTAAGAAATAAGATTTTAATTTAGTCAACAATAGAACAATATGTGCACAAAAGATTTTTGTTGTTATTAGTGTCACTCATTCTTGTCCTGTCTTTTAATTATATGTTTTTTTGTTTTGTTTTATTCCAGACAAAACAGATCTCTCTTTCTTTTGTAATAAAAGCATTTTGCATGTAAACAAGGCTTTTTATGTTTATTTTTTATTATTTTTATGTGGTAAATAGTAAGAAAAATGAAAAATAAATTATTTGATACAAAATAACTTGGATAGTGATAGAGGGGTGATGAAGCTAAGCACAATCGATAATCTCTAAAACAAATATAACGTAAGACTTTATACCTTGAAGAATGAACTACCAGATTTCTTTAAAATTTCACCTTGATCAAGCTTTTCAGTGTCATTCATTTGCCATGAATCTTTAGCCTAGACATAAAAAATATGAAACCGTTCTTGTATAGACTGAGTACTTTCGCTACTCACAGCGGTTATATTCTAGTTGTCATACCTTTTCGAAGTTTTTCAATAAAATTTCATACTCGACATTAGCATGCGGTGGAATATTAAACGACTTTTCGCCTGATTTATCCCAGGCTGCTTTAGATTTCACTTTAATCTTACAACGTTCGTTTTTAAGCATTTTTGTTATAGCATGTTCCACTCTAAAAAAGAGAAAAATGTCCACGAACATTTTTCAGCAAACAAAGGTCTATGTACCCTGGTATAATATTTTTTAGAAAACCCTCGCCAATAACAAAATTAACAGTTCGTTCATCGAACACTCGTCCTTCATACGTCCCTTTCAATAACACTAAAACAAAAACATGAAGAAGTTAAAAAGGAATAAATCATAACTCACGAAATAAAGCAGACCTTCGACATTTGCACCATCATTTGGACGAGTCCAACTTTCACCTTTGCTCAATATACGCCGAACTATACTTTGATCTTTAGCTTCACTGATGTCTTCTCCTAAAATACAGAAACATGACGCATTATTCCACGTTTAATTCTAATCTGAGAGTTTCTCACCAATAAAATCGAATAATTCAATTTCAAAAACGAGTGTTGCATCTGGGGGTATTTTTGAATCACTTCCAGCTTTACCATAAGCATATTCGGGCTTGCATATAAGTCGACATATTTCACCACGTTTCATTGTCGCAACACCAATATCCCATGCTTTTATTACAGCTCCTAAAGGGTCCGGCATGTTTTACGAGTTATTTGAAAATGAACTCTTAAAGAAACACGAACCTTTTCCAAGTTCAAATTCAAACTTTTCATTCCGATCTCGGCTTGAATCAAATTTTGTGCCATCGAGAAGCATTCCAACATAATGAACATACACTTTATCATTACTTGTTGGTTGTTCATTGTCATATCCTTCTTTTAAAATTTCTTTCAGAACACCTAAAAATGACCAAAAATATAAAATGAGTTTGTTTTGGGTCAACCAGAAAAAGTTGGCATATCTTTTCACCTTCATCTTTATCTGGGCTAATATCGTCACCCTTCATTTCAAAATGTGATGTTGGCGATGATGATTTCACTGATGACTCATCGTTTTTAGTTTCAGCCATTTTTGTCTACTCAACTTCTTTAATCTAAAAACTGAAAAAACCAACATATTAATTATGTGTTAATTACCGTCATTAATATGTCAAAGATGAAAGAAAATATACATAAGACAGGTGAGAAACAGGTTTTATATCAAATTTCCAAGCTGAACTTAAACTTTTGCGCATTGTATGTGTGCTTCAATACAATGCAATCTAACTCTTTTTCCTAGTAATATGGACATTTAAACGTGTTCCTTATTGGAACTACTATGAATGAATGAATGAATGAATGAATTTTTTTGAATGAATTTTTATTCACGAAAAGTGAGAGTCATCAAAGGTCATCGACCTATAAAACAATGACTCGAGCCAAACAACAACAAAAGAATCTATAAATAGAAAAAAAAAGAATAAATAAATAAATAAATAAATAAAA